GAACAACGATTGTGTCTTTCAATGAAAACAAGTTGTTCATATGGTGAACATATATGAACATAGACTGTAAGAGATGCACATATATGAACATTTTCAAAATCAAGGATCGTTGTGCATGTGTGCAGATATGAACATAGACTGCAAGCGTTTATCGTCTTCATTATTCTGACATTCTTTTACAATAGGATTCTCCATGTATCTTGAACGAAATGAAAATCTTGTACACTTAGACAACCAATTTCAATATATGTATAAAATCAATTAAAATGAATACCATGAACATGAAATATTAAAGAAATCATAAAAATCTCATGAACAATTAGATGTATCTTTTAAGATTTGTAACTCCCAATTAATTATTGGGGGTTACAAAAAGGTTGAATTACCAAATTACCCTTATCATTAATTTGTAATTTAGATTTGAACCTAAAGTGAAGAAAGAATGTGATTGGTCAAGATCGGTTTCCATAGTTTGTACCATATGGTTGGTTTCTATTTGAACCAACATATATATATATATATATATATATGGGCCCAATCAAGAAAGAACTGACTAGTTTGTGGTAACCGTGAGATCCAATCTCAACTATAAATCAATAGATGAATTAGAAAATTTACAATTTTGGTAACTTTTAATTAAAATTTTAATGTAAGGACATTTTAGGTATCTTCTCTTTTCTCTTCTCTCTCCATCTCGGTCCTCCGGCCTCCGGTGATACCACAGTGTGATACTCAAGCACATATAAGTGCATTGTGATACCATTGCATTACATATCTGATCGATCACACAAACGACCTCAATGTGATACTCAATCACATATAAGATGCATTGTGATACCACTGTGGTATCACCGGAGGACAGAGGCTGGGGGATGGGGGACGGGAGACAGAGAGAGGAGAGGTAATAGGAGAGAGGGAAGAAAATACCTAAAATGTCCCTGCATTAAAATTTTAATTAAAACTACCAAAATTATAAATTTTCTAATTCATCTATTGATTTGTAATTAAGATTGGACCTCACGGTTACCGTAAACTAATTATTTATCATTTGATCATTCTCATATATATATATATATATATATATATATATATATAATCAAGTAATTTATTAGAAAGAATAACTTATCATTGACCATTAGGTATTAATTATTAATTAATACATAATTTCTTAAAATTCAAGGTTACCATTTATTAATGGGAAAATTGCATGAAAATGTAACGTAGTTTAACTTGATTCCTATTTTAGGTAAAGTACTTTCAAAACTTTCATTTTGTTATCTAAGATATAAAATTTAAACATTTAAGTATCTGAGTAACGCTGGTTATCATTATGATGTAGCGAGTGATGTGGTATCTGACTTTATATTTTTTGTTGAAATAGTTAGAAACATAACTTAGAAACCCTAAATCAAATATCTAAATCTAAACCCGAAATCAAAGTTAAAACTTTAAATCTAAACAATTAACAAACCCTCTATCAATTCAAATCAAAAACCCTAAATCAATCCTAGGTAAATCACAACCTTGATCATGATCAAGAGATTTCAGATCCATGAATCCATCTCGAAACTTGCAAGATCCCAGATCCAAGAATCTGTCGAAGATGCCATCTACAAACTAATAATCTCAACCTCGAAGCCTTCTACAAGCACTCAGGGAAATATGAACAAGATCTCAACCTCAAACCCAAATCTGAACCAACACCTATCAGTGTCACTAACCACGTCAGTAAATAATACTGAGTTGGATACCACATCACTCGCCACTTCAGCATGATAACCGGTTAATGCTTCAACCAGTTACCCGAGTACTTAAATGCTTAAAACTTTACATCTTAAGTACCCAAATGAAAGTTATAAAAATACGTTATCCAAAATAAGAATCAAGTTAAAGTACATTACCTTTAATACAATTTACCCTTTATTAATACATATAAACAACTTATTAAAACTATTTAAACCCTATAAAACTAAATGATATATACATTCAAATACAATATTATATTGAGCCCTATGATATAAACTAAAATACTCCATCATATCATTATCGTTATAAAGAACTTCATCATTAAAATCAAAGCAAATTACATCTTATTTAAAATATCTAAATTATAAAAAAAATCGTGACACAAACAAATTAAATCAAAAAAGATTACTTTTTAATCATTAACTGACATTTGTAATGATATATTTTTGTGAGGTCTTTTTACAAGTTCTTCAAATTACCAAAAAATGTCAACCATCACTTCAAGTATATTTATTAATACACATTACATTTCCATTTTTAATTAAAAAGCACTACAACAAAATTGGGTTTACAGGACACTCCCAAATTTTAAGTATCCTAATAGACCTTTTTATATGACTTAGTTTATAAGACAAAAAAAAAAGTGTCATATTTAAAGGTGTTGTAATAAGTTTATATGACATTTTTGACGTCGTAATAAGTTTTTATGACACTTTTAATATAAAGTGTCTCATTATCAACTTTATAGGACACTATTTGAAAAGCTGTCATATAAAAACAAATGTCGTATAAAAATTTGAGTTTATAGGACATTTTCTCAAAAGTATCTTATAAAGTTGCTAATGCGACACTTTGTATTAAATATATTCTAAAAAACTTGTTAAGACGCCCAAAAGCGTCATATAAACTTATTACAACACCTTTAGATATGACGCTTTATATTTTGTTTCTATAAATTAAGTCATATAAAACGGTCTATTGGGACGCTTAGAGATTGATGATGTCATATAAACCCTATTTTGTTGTAGTGAGGTGGTTTCGATTTTATATTCTCAGTCTAAAATAAATGTAATGCACGGTTACACGACGAACCCTCCCCCGGAAAAACTTAAGGTGCACTATAAAACAAATGACTGACTCATAAAAATTATTTAGAGAAATTTTCGTCGGTGATCACTAACTGATCACGCTATAAATACCAATGGTTCGATAGAATCTGATGTTTTTCGAGATAATACTAACGGATCACCCAGAAAATACCAATCGTTCGGTAGAATCTAATGTTTTTCGAGATAATACTAACGGATCACCTAGAAAACCCTAAACAATTTGTCACTAATTTGAATTACCCACCAACAATTCATCCAACAACTCTTTATGATCGATAGTTCTATGACGAATCATCTTTCAGTCAGAAATTTTCTAGAGAAAAATCTGTAGAAAATTTAATAATGGTGTTATTTTCTGGTTTATTATAAAATACACAAGTCAAAGGTTATTAATTTTGATGCTTCGATGTCACAATTAAAAGATTATGTATTATATTTAAATGGTTTGCTTCCATTTATTGTTGATGGACAATGTAACAAAAAAATATTTATGCATGCCTTGTGGAAGTTGGTTTTTGTAAATATAATGAATTTTTATTTATAAAATAAATGTACAGATGCATATATAGAGGTAAGTTCTTCTGTTAACCAATATAAAAAACGTTAATTTTATAAACCTTAATTTGTTAATCAGTTGGAAACAAGTTATACATTTAGTTGATTCACATGATAGAAATGT